AGTCGATTGGATTTCCGTTCCTGAAGTGGCCGACCATCAGTTACTGAGTTCAGAAACACGCTCGCCTTCTTGAGGACACGCTTACCTTCAATCGTACAGCTGTATCTGGCTCCATCATCAAACGGACATCCTTGACCAGTTGACTGACACTGGAACCAACCTGCGAAGCGCCGACTCTGAGAACCATCGACTTCGGAGTTTTGCTCATGCTGCTTTTGGCGGCGGCAGACGCATTTTGAGCCCGCGCATGTGTGCGCTTCTTCGTACGTGCCTTTGCCATTGTAATAGAAGCCGAGATATGAGAATATTGGGAATAAATGTGAGTCCCAATAGCTTCCTCTGCTGTCTGGACAGGATTGTGACTTTTCTCTTAGGTCCAGAAAAAAAGCAGATTTGTCGGAGCAAAGCCGCGGAGGAGCTCGGATCAACAATTTTGCGGCGCCCAAAAATTATTTTTCTTTACTGATACTTAGAAGAGCAGATCAGAAATTCAACGAAATCTATCGATTAGTGCTTTGAAAGTTATCCGACCACAATGCCGGACATCAAGAAGCGCAAGATTGCCCACGAGGCCCCGGAACATGAGAGTGACGCTGAATCAACAAGTTCTCAGGAGTCCGTTGCTCAACAACCTAACACTGCTGAGACGCAAGATGAAGCGGCGTCCACAGAGACAACGCCAGCTCCTAAGAGCTTCAAAGATCTAGGGATCATCGATCAATTATGCGAAGCATGTGAAACGATGGGTTACAAGGCTCCTACGCCGATTCAAGCCGAATCGATCCCTTTAGCACTCCAAGGTCGTGACTTGATCGGTTTAGCAGAAACCGGAAGTGGAAAGACAGCGGCTTTTGCTCTTCCTATATTGCAAGGTATGGCTCCATCAGACCTCATAATCCTTTGAAAGTCTTGGTTCTACGATAAATGTCTACTTTCTGGTCGTTCCCGGTATCTGACAAGCCACCCACAGCTCTAATGGAAAAACCACAATCCTTCTTCGGCCTCATCCTCGCACCTACCCGAGAACTGGCCTTTCAAATCTCAAAATCCTTTGAAAGCCTTGGCTCTACGATCAATGTTCGATGTGCTGTGATCGTCGGAGGTATGGACATGGTCTCACAGTCGATCGCGCTTGGAAAGAAACCTCATATCATCGTCGCTACGCCTGGTCGGTTGCTAGACCACCTGGAAAACACCAAGGGATTCTCGCTACGAACTCTTAAATACCTCGTCATGGATGAGGCCGATAGACTTCTTGACATGGACTTCGGCCCTCTTCTCGACAAAATCCTCAAAGTTCTCCCCAGAGAGCGGCGCACGTTCCTTTTCTCTGCAACCATGAGTTCCAAGGTCGAGTCGCTGCAACGAGCGTCGCTCTCAAACCCACTACGCGTATCTGTATCCTCAAACAAGTACCAGACCGTCTCGACACTCCTGCAGTCATATCTCTTCCTTCCCCACAAACACAAAGATATCTACCTTGTATACCTCCTCAACGAATTCGTCGGTCAGTCTGCAATCATCTTCACTCGCACTGTTCACGAGACACAAAGAATCAGCTTTCTCCTTCGATCGCTCGGTTTCGGCGCCATTCCGCTACATGGTCAGCTCTCCCAGTCTGCTCGATTAGGCGCTCTTGGGAAGTTCCGTTCCCGCAGCCGTGATATTCTCGTCGCGACGGACGTCGCCGCCCGAGGTCTTGATATTCCGTCTGTCGACGTCGTGTTGAATTTTGACCTGCCCACCGACTCTAAAACATATGTTCATCGTGTAGGCCGTACGGCCCGTGCGGGAAAGAGTGGTGTTGCTATTAGCTTTGTGACGCAATATGACGTCGAAATCTGGCTACGTATAGAGGGGGCACTTGGGAAGAAGCTCAAGGAGTACGATTTAGAGAAGGACGAAGTAATGGTCCTGGCGGAGCGTGTCGGAGAGGCTCAACGGCAGGCTATTATGGAGATGAAGAACTTTGATGAGAAGAGAGGCACCAGGGCCAAGAAATTCGGCAAAGGAAAACGCTCTCGAGATGAGATGGATCAAGAAGAAGGCTAAGGTGGAAGTATAGAATTCCAAAACAGTCGCTATCTACTCATTATGATGCCAATGCCCAGACGAGATGACCAGAATTTTCATTGAGTTCCTTACGTTACCGAATGAATTCTCGAGTGGAGATAAGTAGATGAAAAGTAAAGTACAGCAGTTGATGTATATTCTGCTTCCGGTATAACTCAGAACATGTCATAAATCATTCAGGACAGTTCCTGATATTCTCTATAAATTTAGACCGAGTGGTCGACTTTTCCTCTGATGCAGAAGTCACTAGACCATCATTGTGTCGTGGTTCAATTCCTTCTCAAAAGTCCCCGTTACCGCACTACCGTCGATATCAGACCTGCATTTCCAGGGGCCTTTTAAGTGCACCAATGCTCGGAAGGGACTTTAGGTTTGATATGAAGGATTGGTAATTTAAGAAGCCTGCAATATCTCTTTGACGCTGCCGGCATCCCGAACGGCATTGGCAACGCGAGTAGCGAGGTCGTCGGCTTCCGATCGGCTCGCGGCCTCAGCGTAGACACGCACCGCATCTTCCGTGCCACTTGCACGGGCAAAGCTTCGTCCCTTGTTGTAGCGGGACTGCAGGGAATCGATCTTTGCCTGGAGTCCGGGGGGCGATTCGAGCTTTCGCTCAGCGTCGTAGGCCTTGAAGATTGACCGATCAGCAACCTCCACACGTACAAGCCGTGAAGGGAGATCGGTGTAAGTGGCAAGCCATTCCTTGGGGGTCCACCCTTTGTGAGCAAGAATAGCTTCGACGAGGAGCATGTCAGAGATTGCGTCGCCAACCGCTTGGTTAATCAAATCAGTAAGAGCTTGCAGGCACTCAAGTGAACGCTGCTGCGCCGGAGACTGCGGCTCTGTATTCTTAATGGTCTTCAACGCATTCTCTGAGAAAGTAATAGTGCCGTGTCCGTTAGCTTCGAAGTAGACGCCAACATCGAACCGGAGGGCAGCATGGTGGAGATGTTTTACACCAGTATTCGTGCAAATGGAGGGAAGCTTGAGAACTTTTTCTATGTACTCGGTGCTCGATCCATTGGCATAAGCAGTCTGAACGACGCCGATCTTGAGTTTCTGAGCAATTCCGGCGCTGCGGGCGAGGTCACCAATGAAGGAAGCGGCAAGAGTGGCGATGCGGTCGCCGTCCAACAGCCGAAATACATTGCCTTCGTCAAGGAAATAGTAAACAATACGATCTGCGTCACCATCCAGAGACGCGCATCGATCCAGAACAGAGGCCTTGGACGATGGCGGGGCACGCTGCTTGGTCTTGACATAATCGGCGCCGCACTGATACAATGATTAGTACGCGGGAATTGAAGGGCGTCATGGAAGTTGCTTACTTCGAAGTTGAGACTGTCAGGATTGATGACATCGTCATTTACAATCTTGATGTCGAGACCAGTGTCCTCGGGCAGATACTTGATGAGTTCCCGCAACTTAGGTCCGCCGACGCCGTTAGCACAATCAACAGTCAGAGAGCCCTTGACCTTGACGCCTCTCATGACCCGCTTAAAAGCTTCTGCAAGCTTTTCGTAATATCCTTGCTCAGTAGGCTCTCCATACTCGTATTGCGTTCCGAGAGTGTTCTTGCACCGGACGACGTAATGCAGTTGGGGAGTGGTCATATACTTCATATCGATGAACTCAGCCTCCGTGGCAGCGAGTGCAGCACTGAGGACGCCGACGAGTCGCGAACCGGATGCACGAGTATCCCGGGCGAAAACAACACGAGCAGGGTTCTCCATGCTGACATCGATCTCCTTAATCAATTCGTCGTAAACGTCACCAATGTTTTCCAGCGGAGCATTCGCGAGTTTTGTGGCGTATGCTTCCCATTCAGCCTAGTGAAACGCAGAGTCAGCATCAGGCGAATATATTTTCGTCGAAGGGAAGGCGTACTTCCAACATTTCACCCTATTTTATATCAATACGTCAGCAAATTTCACCTTTCATAGCCCCGTCGAAAGTTCCGTTAGAGCTCACCATTGGGTCGACCAGTTTGACACCGTTGTCCTCCGCAGGATTGTGGCTCGCAGTGACCATGACGCCAATCCATTGTCCGCTCAACTTCTTGGAGCGAAGTGTTGCAAGCAAGCCTACAGCATAAACAACCGTGTTGAGGAGGTCACTGCGATAAACCGTCCATTAGAGCTGCCACACGGCGATCGTGGGGTACCGTGGAGGCGGGGTTGATTTGTTCCTGAGAAAACAAAATAGACTTACGCTTTCATACGGAACTGTAGCAATAGACTTCAAGTCAGCTTATACAAGCGTAGAGATAGCTGGGAGAGGTCCAACATACGCCCGCGGTGCCGTATTGGAAGATCTTGCCCTCTGGCTTTGCATACTGCAAGGCAGCCTCTGAGATAGCTTTGCGAACGGCTGGGGACGCCATTGTTTGCGGCGCGGAACCTGGCCAAAGACGTGTCGGGAAGCCCTAAATCCGATGAAGCGGGAGTGACGGAGGGGTCGCTGAACCTTTATGAGATAAAGCAGGACAAGAGTAGTTAGAAAAGATGGGTTACAAAAGAAGAGGGCCAGCCGGCTATTAAAAAGTTGTCAATCGCAACCTGCACGAGGGGAACGGACTGGCCTGACAGCCTTAGGACACCTTAGCTCTTCCTCCGTTGCTGCCCACAGCGCCCAAGCGGTGAGCCAAAGAAATGGCGTGGTAGGCGCGGTTTCACAGCACCATAGGTACTCTACTCACACCTGATTATTACTGGCTACTGCTAGCTTGAAAATAAAGTTTGGTGGAAGCAAAGGGGTGAAAGAAAGCGATTGAACCAAGAAAAAAAAAGGTGTTTCGAATTTTTGTTATTATTATTGCAAAACTCTACATGAAACAATTTGCATTTTACGATGGGCTTATGCAAATATGTCATCTTTGCTGGGATCCACAGTACAACTGCCGAGATCAGGAAGAGTTCGTTACCGGATCATGCTTTCAGTCTGCGGCTTGAGACATCATTCTGGATGTCTTTGATCAAATACCTATTAAAATCGATGCATCAGAGTCGAACTTGCTTTCACGAGCGGGCGGTCATCTGCTGGGCACTTACATATACCACCATGCGGTGGGAATGACTGTTCCAAGATGCCACAAGCTGTGAGCATCAATAAGCCCGTGCCAAGGAGGAAAGTCCTGCAACTCGAGACTCATGGCCAACATAATCCACACCACAATCATTCCAGGCCAGGCCATCCAAACTTTGCCTTGCTTCTTATACCGGACGATGCTGAACCCCGTCCAAAGTATATTTTGAATGGCTCCGACCACGACGTTTGCAATCATGTTGTAGGTGTAATCCCATGACCAAAAACTGAGATAGCATACGTGCATGGTGTATAGAAGAACGCAGATTGTGGTCGTTAGACGACGTAGAGTCGGCTTGTACCGGGGCTTTCCTTGGTCAAGGCGCAGTATCCTAATTATAGCAAGGTATAGGCCGTACATCACGTTCGCACCAGCTCCGAAATAGTCTAACTTTTCTGTGAGAGGGAAATCCCTTGTATGGAATAACATGCTGAATGTCCAGCACGCCAACCCGCAGTAACCGAAAGTCAGGTAGTATGGCCGCAGGGAATGCCATGCTGGGATTGTTTCTTTGATTCGAGCGATGCCATTCCAGTGAGCGAGAAGATTGAGGAGGGAGAAAAGGACGGAGAAAGGCTCCTGCATGCCGAGAATCCTGCGAAAGGGCCATTTTCCATGGAACTGTACTACTGGATTCAACATTGGAGGGTCGCGGGCAAGTCGGCGGTCCGTTACTACATGTTGACAAGTGTAATCACACTCTGCTGGACAGGTCCATAAGAGAAGGCGTAGATGGAGTGCTGTAAGGGAACCAATCAGCATGAACGAAGCAGATGTAGACTGGTTAGACATACAAATGACGGAATCGCCATCTCGACAATTTTCAGTCTGACAGATCTTTTTGACAATGAGTTCGCTGTTTTGAGTCTTCGAGGCGTTGTTATTGAGGAAACGATACCTTGACACATTCTTTGAAATCAGGTAGGTGATCACCCAAGGAAGCCGTCGACCTCCCTATTAGAGAAGCAATGAGAAACGCGAGAAAGTACAAGCAAAGCTTACTCCTGGCCGAGCGCAGAACCATAGTGCTAGGTGTGCATGGAGTACAGTGCAAAGCTGGAGTGCACAAGCTTAAGGGGAGAGCTGTGAGTTTGACGCGTTCAGGCAGAGGATCGGAGATGAGTCTTGGCAATTCATCTACCTCTCTACGGGAGGAGGTATCTACAAGTAACTGAATTCTGGAAAGGGAGGGTAGGATATCCTCCCGCACTTGGTGAAAATTTTATAACAGCTTTGTTTGGAAATCTCGAGAAGAGTAATGTATCCAAGAGACAAGTAGACGGGTAGAGTTATATACTTCTTTTTAACATACGTCTCTAGTCAAGGAGGAGACCTTAATAATACAGCAACATTCGGACGAAACGCCGAGGTATTGTATATCAACCCTAATCAGATATGATTTCTGAGGGCTAAAGAAATCACATGGAGATTACCAGAAAAAGTCTAGTGCCAACCAAAGTCCAGACTAACCCTAATCAGGATTTAGCGTTTGTCCTGAAGGAGAATTTCTATTGATGGCAAAAGTAATGAGGGAAAAAAAGTCGAGCTTGAGGGGTCGTTTGGAGATAACATTTACTTATTTCTCTCATCTCATCCCCATCACAACAGCAGACCTTAGTCTCTTGGTTGGCTTCTATCCCTTTGTTCTCCTCGCTTCATTCTCCGTTCGTCTACTTTTCCCCCTTGTCAACCGCACGGCATTTCTCTTTTCAAAATGGAAGGTGTTGAAAGACAACAATCTGCAGAGCCTTCGGCCTTGATCACCAGCAGTGCTGATCGTATGGTGGGCATGGACCATGCTGAAGTGCGTTACTTCACCAGGTATGAGTCTATTTTTCCCCTTGATTTGTATGATCTTATGTGTCTGACCTTGTTCACAGCTATGATCACCATGGTAAATTTTGCCTATTGTCCACTAAACGTTGAAAAGTATGCGAAGCTGACACAAATCTATGCTAAGGAATTCATGAGGAGATGCTTGTAAGTTCATATACAACCTGGAATCGAATTGATATTAGTGCTGATAGTATCCCCTCACAGAAAGACGACGTCCGGACTCGGTCATACCGCGATTCCATTTATCAGAACCGCCACATTTTCAAGGACAAGGTTGTTCTTGATGTCGGGTGTGGTACTGGTATTCTGAGCATGTACGTCTCATATGTCTCGATAAATCAACGCTTCACATACTGATGTTATGACTCAAAAGGTTCGCCGCAAAGGCAGGCGCCAAGCACGTAATCGGCGTGGACATGTCCTCGATCATCGAGAAGGCGCGCGAGATTGTCGCGGTCAACGGCCTCTCAGACAAGATTACTCTTCTTCAGGGAAAGATGGAGGAGGTCCAGCTCCCGTTTCCCGCGGTGGATATCATTATCTCCGAGTGGATGGGATACTTCCTCCTTTATGAAAGCATGCTGGATACCGTTCTGTACGCTCGGGACCGCTATCTTGCTCCTGGCGGCAAGATCTTCCCTGACAAGGCCACCATGTACTTGGCTGCGATTGAGGATGGCGAGTACAAGGATGACAAGATCGGATGTGAGAGATCCCTCGCTTATGTTAGACTTTCAAGGGAGTACTGATTCGGTATAGTCTGGGATAACGTTTACGGATTCGATTACAGCCCCATGAAGGAGATTGCCCTTACGGAGCCCCTTGTGGATACCGTCGAGCTCAAGGCCCTGGTCACGGATCCTTGTTCTATTATCACTTTCGATCTTTACACGGTCACCAAAGCAGACTTGGCGTTCAGGGTTCCTTTCTCCCTTCCCGTCAAGCGCAGCGATTTCATTCACGCCATCATTGCGTGGTTCGACATTGATTTCACCGCTTGCCACAAACCCATCAGCTTCTCCACTGGTCCCCACGCCAAGTACACACACTGGAAGCAAACCGTGTTCTATCTCCGCGACGTCCTCACTGTTGAAGAAGAGGAGTCTGTGTCCGGTATCTTGGAGAACAAGCCAAACGATAAGAACCCTCGTGATCTAGACATCCAGATTTCTTACAAACTTGAGACCACGGACAACTTGCGCTATGCCGAGGGCAACTGCTTTTACAGGATGTAGGTCATTCCTAGCCGGGACTGCCGCACCTCAGCGCTAATTCTTCGCAGGTGCTAAACCATCAATCTCTTGTGATATTCGCTTGATAAACATTTTGCTACCGTGATATTTGAGGACAGATCGCATGCTGTCAAACGAAACGAAAGCTTCGCCTTGTAAGGCAGCATTATTGCATATTTGAAAGGTTACTTGTATGGACTTTGGGTCGTTGAATGGTCTCTTTCGTCCTTCGTTCTTGTTTTTCGGCGTTCTATTGGATGGCAGGGGAACGGCACATTATTTGGCGCGAACGGAGAGACTGATTTTGCATGAGACTTTTTGAAGCTCCTCGAATTTTTTCAAGTAGATACCCCGAGTTGACGCTCAGTCCAGCCGCCTCCGACGTGTTCCTTAGATTGTTTTGACCTATCATCTACTTTTTTTACATCCATACTCTCCTTTTCCTTCCATTTGGCTCGCGTAATCTTCTCCTTTGCCCACTCAAATCGAGGAGAGTCTGAAGGAACAGGCACCTAAGGAGGGGTGTTCATGCCTTGTTCTATGGGCGATACGATCATGAGTTTACGAGAAGCGGAGCTAACCATTTGGTAAAGTTCCTCGGCTGAGATTTAGATCAAACATACCTCTCGTAGAAGCTCAGAGAATATGAGTCGTGGTGACCTGGCAGGCCAAGTCTCAATCATTTAAAATACCGTAGACTAGTACCTCAACGATAGGAAATTTCATATTTATCACAGGGATTTGCATTGTCAAAGCTGATAGTTCGTTGTCTCTAAATAAACACACGTGATCTCGCCGAGTGCTTTGCCCCAGATAAGCATCAAGATGCGGAGAAAAGACATCTTTCCTCCCGACTAGAACCTCAGTCTGTAGCCATTGCGGAAGCATCCACAAGGATGAACCCTTATACCTCGCTCAGGGCACCCCGAGCCTTGAAACATGTCTGGTAATGCCTTTTGGACGGCTCTTTTTGCGTAACATGGACTAACGCGACAGTTAGCGCAAGGCATTCTAGGACCGGACTTACTACGAATTACACGCGTTTGGTATGCAATCGACGTAACTCTCAACCTCGAAACAGTCACAATCTCGCGAATCAGTCATGGCTCTACCTTACTAACCCGGCAATTCAGGCGGTCGGCTCCCGGGGCCTGCCAAACGCAGTCCGTCCTTTGACGCTGAATCGGCAACCCGTCTCCATCCGCCGTTACTCAAGCATTCCGCCTGAAAATGAGACAACCTCCGCTCAGGAGAAGCAGATTCCTTCAAACACTTCCTCCGAGAGTGAAAAGAAGACCTCCCCGTCGCCTTCAGCCGAGACCTCAGCGACGGATGAAAAGAAATCTCTATCAGCAGCGCCTGTGAACGAGACATCTTCGACAGAGGCCAATGGTAACACACTGGCAGATGGAGATGGTACAGCATTTATTGATGGAAAGGAGAATTTGACGGCGACCACAAACGAGGCCTCCACAGCCGATTCAGAGACAGCTGACAGGAAGACCAATGCGGAGTTCGATTCAATACCGAAGAATGCTGCGAGAAGATTTGTTTCAGTGCGCTTAGGTCCTCTTGGATCAAATGTGACTCGTTATGGGGAGTTGTAAGTCAAACCATACATCATAAAGTTTTCGTCTTTATGTGTGAGAGGAGACCACTTGCTAATAGATTATAGTGGACCCTTTTTCCTCAGGTGAGCCGACTAGTATTCGCTGCATTCGTTATTGACGCTCACACAGTGCTTTTTTTGCATCTTCAGGGAAAATTGCCAGTGCCCATTGTGTCTCCATCCAGAGACGAAGCAAAGATCCGTGGATACTTTCTCGGTACGACTTGCCGTTCCTTTTGGCCGCCTATGTAGTTGCTAATCGTCTTTCACTTGTTTGCGTTTTAGATACACCCTGCGGTCAATGCTAAAGACATCATATACAGTCCTAACGTCGTTGAAGTACTCTGTGAGTTTACAAATGTTAGGCCAGTGGGCAAGAGGCTAACTTAGTCTAAGTCTCTGATGAACATCGGGGACTATATCCATATTCATGGTTAAATAGCCATGTCAACCTCACCACCGAGAGGAAAACATATTCTGCGCCATTCAAGTTCAGGTTCGTATCACCTTAATTCTGTATATTATCGAATTCCATTAATCCGTCATCGCTAGAGACTTCTCATCCTACAATCCTAATCAAGACTCTTACCCTGAAGTCGAGTACTCCGAAGTTATGTCTGACGACGCCGCGTTGTTAGCATGGTTTGATGAGATTGTGAGTTCCTCCTTAACTCAAGATATGCTCAGCAGCTCACGCCAGTCAAGTACAAATGGGGTTTCTGCTTTGTGAAAGGAGTCCCTGTGGATCCTGAATCAACCAAAGCACTTCTCGAGCGGATTTCCTTTATCAGACACACTCATTACGGTAAATACATTCTCCCTGTAGTCTATTGTCACCTTCAACTTTCTACACTAAAAATGTCCTACTAATGCATCAAAGGCGGTTTCTGGGACTTTACATCCGACTTGACCTTCAAGGATACTGCCTACACCACGGAATTCTTAGGCGCGCACACAGACAATACATATTTCACTGACCCGGCTAGACTTCAACTATTCCACCTTTTGTCGCACACTGATGGCCATGGCGGGGCCAGCTTGCTTGTAGACGGTTTCAAGGCTGCCTCCATCATGCGACAAGAGAATCCAAAACACTGCGGAGTCCTTGCCGCTACCAAACAACCATACCACTCAAGTGGGAATGAGGACGTATGCATACAACCCGCAGAGCAGGCCCCTGTCTTCAAAATTCATCCCGAGTTGAGCCGACTATACCAAGTTCGATGGAACAACTACGATCGAGCTGCGAAACGAGACTGGGGATTGAAGGAGCAGAACCGATGGTATAACGCAGCACGCCATTTTAACAATATTATCCAGCGCCCGGGCGTTGAAATATGGACACAGCTTCAGCCCGGAACTGCGCTCAGTAAGTGCTTAAGCGCCCTTTTGAGGGACTCGGCTAATTAGGCTTCTAGTTTTCGACAACTGGAGAATGCTTCATGGTCGTTCCGAGTTCACTGGCAAGCGGCGGATGTGTGGTGGATATAGTATGTTATACTCCTGACTTTATGACGGTATTCTGTTACTAAACCCTTTATCAGTCAACAACGATGACTTCATCTCACGTTATCGACTTCTGAAATATGGAAGAGAAAAGGTTATCGAAAATCTGGGTAACCTTGCTATCTTTAAGGGTAATCCCAATTTCCTTCTGTGAGCAGAGAGCCCAAACAGTTTCCTCGCTACAGGACGACTTAAAAGGTCAACCATCATCGAACGCTTGGGAAGCCCCTCTGTGTGAAGGTTATGCTGTCGGAAATGTAACATAAGAAGTGCTATTAGGCGTACATATCAGATAAAAAAGCATAATGAAATTCAGGCCAAAAGCCCTCTGATGGCGATGAGCGGAGACGATCATGGACGCTGGTAGAGATAATTATCACGTGATGTAGGCAGAGCAGCTGACGTTTGGTTGGAGCTCAGAGCATCGCCAGGATAGCTTCAACCCTCCCACCTTCTATCTCAATCTCCCATCCTTTTTCTTTTTCCCGATTACGCACCCCTATTACCATTTTATTCGCAAGTTCAATCAGCTCCATACTCCCACATATTCCCTGTTACCATGTCGACCCTTGAAGATCTGGAGGATCTCGAACGCGAACAGAGAGACAAGAAGAAGGACCAGGGTGATGGTGACGGCCAGCAGCCTGGAGGAGATGGAGATGCTGAAATGAAAGATGCCGATGCGAAGAAGAAGGATGAAGAAGATGATTTACTGGATGAGGAGATTCTCACCTCGAGCACAGCAGACATTGTCAAGCGGCGGCGGATGTTGGAGAATGAGCTCCGCATAATGAAGAGCGAGTACCAACGATTGACACACGAACAGAATACTATGCGGGAGAAGGTGAGGGATAACCAGGAGAAAATTGAGAACAACAGGTACGACATGCTTGTCACCCTATCCACTTCAGCTCTCCCCTACTGCCATTCATTTCCGGAACGCCGGAGCGGTGGCGATGTTGCAGGTCTATCACTGGGATTTATTTGAAAGCCTTTGATTACTCTTCTGAACAATTTTATTCACAGGCAACTGCCATACCTCGTCGGAAACGTCGTTGAGCTTTTGGATCTGGATGTTGAGGCAGAGGCCGCCGAAGAAGGAGCCAACATTGATCTTGACGCTACCCGAGTGGGCAAGTCCGCTGTCATCAAGACATCGACCAGACAGACTATCTACCTTCCTCTCATCGGTCTGGTAGATCATGAGAAACTCAAGCCTGGTGATTTGATCGGTGTCAATAAGGATTCATATCTGATTTTGGATACACTACCTGCCGAATATGACAACCGTGTGAAGGCCATGGAGGTCGACGAGAAGCCGACAGAGAAGTATACGGACATTGGTGGTTTGGACAAGCAGATCGAAGAGATCGTTGAAGCCATTGTATGGCCGATGAAGGAGGCGGAACGATTCACCAAGATCGGTATCAAGGCACCAAAGGGTATGTCAACCATCTTCCTTTCGAGCCCTGCTCAGTTGTCGTTCGGCCATCATCCCTAACGCATATTTTCCCTTCCAGGTGCTCTTATGTACGGTCCTCCTGGTACCGGTAAAACCCTTCTTGCGCGAGCTTGCGCCGCAGAGACAAACGCTACGTTCCTCAAGCTTGCTGGACCTCAGCTGGTGCAGATGTTCATCGGTGACGGTGCCAAGCTAGTCCGGGACTGCTTCGCTCTTGCCAAAGAGAAGGCTCCTTCGATCATTTTCATTGATGAACTCGACGCCGTGGGTACCAAGCGTTTCGACTCCGAGAAGTCCGGTGACCGAGAGGTGCAACGTACCATGTTGGAGCTTCTGAACCAGCTTGATGGATTTGCTTCGGATGATCGTATCAAGGTCCTGGCCGCAACAAACCGTATCGATGTCCTTGATCCCGCTCTGCTCCGTTCCGGTCGATTGGACCGCAAGATCGAATTCCCTCTACCGAACGAGGAGGCACGGGCAAACATCCTGCAGATCCACTCCCGCAAGATGGCTGTGGATGACGCCGTCAACTTTGCCGAGTTGGCTCGAAGTACCGATGAATTCGGCGGTGCACAGCTGAAGGCCGTCTGTGTGGAAGCCGGTATGATTGCTCTCCGGAAAGGCATGAGCAAGGTCGGACACGAGAACTACGTGGATGCTATCGCCGAAGTCCAGGCCAAGAAGAAGGATACAAACATGGGTATCTATGTCTAGAGATATTACATAATCAACGCTGTTCCTCTTGTCTAAATCCCTCTTCACCTACTCTGATAGCCGTGTATTTCCGTCCCTAAGTCGCTCAAAGCCTGTCATCAATATGCATGCGACCATGCTCGTTTCTTATTATTTTGTAATGTCTCCTATCCTCGCCTGTCTTGGAATCTGTTTGGCAGATGGATAAACAGTCATAATGGTATGAATAACTCTCATGATCCTKGTGTAATTATCTGGCAAGATACGTAGTGTTGGAACCATGTGGCGCCGACGCGTATGTCTTTCGGATCTCTTTTATTGTATTAAGCGAAATACACGTTATGTATAAGGTTATCCGACCATGACTTGTCCGGAAGTTGGACTCAGTGCTGTACAAAGTATGCTCATCAGTCGCGAGAAAGACAGGAAAGCTTCCGAATAGATGAAAACAGAAGGAAAGCCAAACAGAGAAACTGAAGGGGAATATATGTATCCAGTCGAATGGGACTCCAGCAGCGCCTTACAAATTCAGAGAAATTAACCTCCTAACTCATGCATGGAAACGAGGGAGAATGGAGGGAAAATACATGTCCAGACATGAAGGAGAGTTCCATCCAACCCAGCGAGTAGATATGCATGTATGTGTCCATGATAAAAGAAAGAAAAGGAAAATCCCTCGTCCGAACCAGGTCGATGGTCGGTGTCGATTTCCACCGATGAGGTAAAATCGAGATGAGTCAACCGATGAACGCCGTCGTGCTTGCACGTAGATCCATATGACTTTGTTCCATTGTATGCTAGGTTTGAGAAAGAAAAGGAAAGACGCGAAGTAAGCGTTGCATCGTGGTATAGCACTGCATCAGGTAAAGCATGGCATCGTAGAGTGCTCGATCAGAAGAGGCCTTTGACGTCAACGATTTCGACACTTCCTGGACGGTCGCGTTCCATATGGAACCACCAGTCCCTGCCTTTCTTGTGACTGTAATTCCAGGATCCAGTACAAGTATCTTTGTCCCAGGGAAGCCCGGTTGGAGACGTCAGGCTCATGGGAGTAGACGGGGTTGTCGGTGTGATAGGACTTGTTCCCAACGCTGAGCGACTACCAATGCTGCCCCATCCAAATCTCGTAGCAGTCGTGGAAGCTGGGGATGGCGGAGATTCCTCGGGAGGGGGAGGGGGAATCAGGCTACCTTTGCTGCCGAAACAGTTGACCCCGACTCCGGCAGCGTAGGTCAACGACTGGTTTGAGGCAAGGATGTGCTTCCATCCAATGAGGCCGCCATCTGCGTCCTGGCCAGGTAGGTCGGGGCGGAGTATGAACCGTGGTATTGAGACATCTTTCTCCGTAGTTCTACTACCCACTCTGCCCATATACGCTGGCATACGGAAGTTGAACACTGTGACTGGACCATTGCGCTCTTCATTTGCCCTCCAACCAGAAGACGGCGATCCGTATTGGTCCAGACCCATGTCTGGACCAGGCTCATCATCTGAAGCATCCTCCAAGGCATTGTCGGGTACGTACGAATCTGAGTGATCAGTGATGAGGACTTGCATTCCGGTTTCCGTATCCTTGGCAGCCATGTCAATGAAGGTCTGCGCCCGTATCCGTGCCGACGTCAGATTGTTGCCCGCTGGGAGGGCCAATGGGCGGGTATTAACAGAGCCATGAGAGCTCCGAGGCAGGCTGTACCGGTCAGAATTGATCAGGGCCTGTCCTCTAGGAATAGGCTGGCAGACAGCCTGGAGAATTCCGGGAGGCTCTATATCCGAGGGTGCTCGAAGGGTCTCCAGACGGGGGAAACCCGAGCAGAGAATGCTTTGAGCCAGATGCGAGTTTGGTGTGTCAATATGCTTTGGTGGCTTGGCGAAAGGGGCAGAGTCTAGTCTCGTCAGGGCAGTATTCGGGTTGGGACAAGCGACGTCCCAATGCAGATGCTTGAGACTGGACGACGCGAACAGCGGCTGAAAAACAATCCCATCGGCATTCAACGTCGGACAATGGTTGGTCTGCACGATCTTGAAACGCTCTAGATATCTAAGCGAGGCTAAAATCTTTGAGATTACAAGCAAGGATTGAATGTTCTGTTCAACGAGAGCCAGGGACTTCAGCGAGCCAGACTCCGGGCGGGAGGTGTACTGTGAGAGTCCGGTATCAGTGATACCTGGCAGGCTTTCCAGCCGAAGTGACTCCAGAGGCGGTAGACACAGCAAAGCACTATCCGCGAAGGCATCAGCATCAAAGGATGAGATGCAAAGATGACGCAGCGAGGGTAATAGGTGGAAGATGCGAAGGAAAATGCTCGGCTCGAGGGCACTTTTCCCGTTCAACGCGTAGAGCATTAGAGTATCCAGGTTTGACCAGGAAGAGTGGTAATCCAGAAACTCAAACATCTGCAGAGGACCCAAGCTGCCCGGGCAAGAAGTGTTGCGCGGAGACTCTTCTTCAGAGACCTCCGGCCCCTCTCCCAAGATCCACGTGTGTTCCTTGAGCCTCTTCCGTGTCGATAGTGCATGGGTCAGACGATCGAACTCATGGTTGTACGCGATGGTCAAACCTAACAACCGTTCCAGGTTGGGGCACACCATTACGACGGAGGCAACAAGGTCTCGGTATTCTTGCCATTGGTTGCTGTGCTTGCTTGTTGTGAAGAGAAGGTCCATCTGCGGAACACGAAGCTCCAGGACAAGGTTGGCTAACGATTTCCTTTCGCGTAGGGTCCGTCGTAGAAGTTTTAGGCGGCTGCCCCTTTTCATCCGATATTTTTTCAGCTGAGCAGGAGAATCATTTCCGATAATGTGGATGCGAGTATAGCTTCATGGCAAACCTCGTCAGCGTTTCAAGACCATCAGATAGCTGTGGGTCGAATTCACTCACAGTTTGGCTCGAACAACTCTTTCCCATACTCGACAAGTCAAGGAAAGAGCGTACAGGTCGCGCTGAAAGCATGTCAAACAACCAGACTGGTTTGCGCCTGTGTGCAGAAACTGTAGTT